TTGTACTGTTGGCATACCTATTTCTACGTAATAGTGCCAATGACACCTTATACACACAATGTTTTATACAATACTTAAATTAGTTAAGAGAAGAAAGAGGAACTGTGCCTTTGTACTGTGTCGGGACTACGTAACTACAATTGCTGGTTTTGTGTGTGTGTGTGTGTGTGTATGTGTGTGTGTTTGAATAATTGTCTGAAGTCACTTGCTTACTTTTAGCCTGAATTACCACCTTTAGTATTTCTTGTAAGGCAAGTCTGCAAGTAACAAATTCTCTTGAGTTTATGTTTACCAGAGAATGCTTTCATTTTTCTTTCATTTTAAAGGAGCTTTGCTAGTTATAGCATTCTAGGTTAAGAATTTTTTTCTTTAAGCACTTCAAATATGCTTTTTGCCACCATTTGGCTGCACTAATTTAGCTGGTTTCCCCTAACTAGTTAAATCCCCCTCCAAACCAGTCACGTTCCTGCCTGAGTAATTTTTACAACACAAATCATTGCATTGGTCCCTTATTTAAGATATTTAAACATGTCCCTCTTTTCTACAGAATAAATACGGATCATCCTGAAAGTCACTGGCCCTGCAATCTATACCCTGCTTTCCTTGGGGTACTCTCTTGTTTAGTCCAAGTTCTAGTCATACTGAACTTGAGGTTTTCCCCACACTCTCAGGCCCTTTTGTGCCTCAGTGCTTTTGCTTCAACCGTTCTCTCTGCCTGGAAGCCTGCATCCCCACCCACTCTGGGAAACTCCTACACAGCTCTCAGTGGAGTTCAATCATCTGATTCCCCTAAGAATTCTTTCCTGGCACCTGTGCTAGAGTTGGTTGTTTCCTCTTTGTTTCGGTCCTCTGATGCTCATGCGGTCTTTGGTTAGGGCAATTTTGGCTCTTAGATTTGTTAATTATTAATCTATGTATTTACTCTCAACCGTATGATCTGTTGAGGGCATTAATCGCACCAACATGAATTGAATGCTTAGTATGTGATAGGCACTTCACAGTGTTTCATTTAATCCTATAACTCCATGAAAGTAAGTGGGTAATATTTTAAATTTCACTTTGAGATGATGAAGCTAAAAGAGAGAGGTGATTCAGATTGTCAGATGATTGCAGGTAGGGTTAAGATTAACACCAGGGCTCTCTTATTCCCGTTCACCCACTAATCAGGCAAATGCTATGCCTTCTCTTGGGTGTCATGGGGACCCATACAGAGCCAGACACATAATCATGCCTGATCAATATAGTTGAATGTGATAACTCGGTAACGATTTTTTAAAAAATCAAGACATTAAAAGGCAAGATTTCAAATTGCACTCCATATTCTTATTTTTTGTTACTTATTATTTATTTCTATGTGGTGACTAAATATAAAATCTTTAAATAAAATTATCTCTTTCCAGTATTCCTGGGGCATCCAGAAGGAGAGTATGTGGAAGATGTATCTTACTTTGCAGCAATGATGCCTCTAGTCTATCTGTATAAAAAGAGTGACTTGGGGTGGCCATGAGATTGAAAAGGGCTGGACCTGTAGATTTAAAAATCACTTTACATAAAATTTAGAAGTCATTACCTCTCTGTGAAAGAATGATGGAGGTAATGGCAGATTCCTACCCCCCTAGGAACCCCTTGATAGAGCTACTGCTTTGCTATTGGGAGGTGAGGGAGAACATCTATAGGAAGAAATTAGCTAGAAATGACAAAGTAATGTAGAGAAAGAAAAACTGACTGTCGTTGGTGCCCGCTAGAAGGAAGAGGGGGTTTAATAAAAACACATCAGGGGGCAGTAGCCTCACTGGCAAAGTTCAGCCAACATGTCGGTTGGTGATGTGGTAAGTGGAGGCATCAACAGGGTCGAGCTTCCTTTTAAGATTTCACTCTGTGGTTTTCTGTGTGCTTTTCCCTTGTGAACAACTTCTACATGACCCTTAGGTGTCACTTTAGAGCCTAAACCAACCTTGCTCCAAGCCAGCCCTAGATCCTCTAGAGGAAGAACTTCAATCATTTTCTCATGAGTTTCATTCACAGAAACTGGGTCGAAATCCTAGGAATTCATGGAGTAGCTCCCTCATAATAAGCATATTTTAGTTTTTGTTTTGTTTATGTCACAGACTGAACTTGCATGAGGACCAGCTCTAAGAAGCGATTAAGGAAAATTAAGACCTAACACACTGTCAGTGGATGTCGATGTAGGATTCTTGAAGCTGTGGGCTTCTGTATTTTTTAGTATGGCCATATGATGCTTTGCCCTTCCTTCCCAGCCTTCTCCTTCTTTCTACCCAGAACAGGGATGTGCTAACGGAAGCTCCACTGGACACCTCAATTCATGAGGCAATGTGGGAATGGAAGCCACGTGCTAAGAACTGGGGAGCAAAACATAAGAAGCAGCTTGGGTCCCCAGTGACCACAGACTCACCATACTGACTCTAAATCTGTTGAACTCCTGACTTTTTACATATATTAAAAATAAACTCTTATGTGTCTTTGTTACTAGCAGCTGACCACAATGTCTAACATTGAGGTTCACGTGACAATAGATGTCATCAGTGTAAGGACCTGCAAAGCACAATGTGCAGAATTTAGAGGGAGGACAAATTGGGCTGATGTAATAGCTTGTTCTAAACTTCTTAGCTGTAGGTCAGCTTGTCTGTCTTATTCCTGAGTGGATGTGCTTGTGCATGGGTTGTAGTATGTAAAGTAGAAGATTCCCATTGCTGAAGGGATTTTTTTAAGCTTTGCCAAAGACAGTAATTTCAATCAACATCAAGGGTTTTCAGCATTTAAAAAGGAAATTCCCTTTGATCAGCTTTGTGACTGGATTGCCACTCAGAAATATTGAGGTTTAGGCAATTACTGGTTCATTATCACAGCTTTTAAAATAATTATTTGTTAATTAGCCATATTAGTTCCTACTGTTACTCAAGAGTTACTCTTTTTGAGCACCTACTATGCACGAGATTCTGTGCTGGGCGACTGCATGTATCACTTAATGCCCTGGGAGGGTTAAAAGTGACAATTCTGGGTTCTTTCCTAATCAGCAGGTCGAGCTCCTTGAATCAATGTCCTAAACCAGCTTTTTAATATTTTTTTTATGTTTTATTTTTTTAGTTGTAGTTGGACACAATACCTTAATTTTATTTATTTATTTTTATGTGGTGCTGAGAATTAAACGCAGGGCCTTGCACAAGCTAGGTGAGCGCTCTACCACTGAGGCACAACCTCAGCCCTAAACCAACTTTTTAAATGAATCCTCTTTATCTAGATTGTACTAAAGACTCTTTCTTAACATACTCACAGAGACCTACTTGGAAATGTACAATGTTATTTTCTCTGGGAGCACCAGGCATCATAAAAATCAGTGACCTTCTCCCTCCCCAACTTCAATTTACAGAGAATTTTAAACTTTTGTCTTCAGGAAGACTCTTGCCCTGGCTGTTTAGCTTGCATCCAGCCTAACTGGAAGTCCATGCTTTACTGAGAGTCCTGGTGGGTGGTAGATTAGCCCAAAGACAAAATGATTAGAGGAGAAGAGAAATCATGAGAGAGAGGGCAATACTTCCAGTGAGAATAAGGCTGTGAACACTCTTTGGGAAATTAGATGAATGACTCACATAAATGCCCTCCTCTCCCCTCCCTTTCACAGGCATCTGTTGATCTCAGTACCTTGAAGATCCACAACAGGAATGGGGTTTCTCAATATCTATCTCCCCACACATTCACACCATGATCATATCCTCCTTATCTTAAAGACGACCTTTGGAAGATCATATTCTGCCCAGTAGATATTAGTGTCTCAGTAGATGAGTTTCAATGCTACGTTTCAGGGAGGTCTGAGAGGAAAGTATCTGATTCAGTGGTTGAAATGCTGGGCTGGAAGTGACAACTCAGGACAGCCCCTGATACTTTGAGCAATGCCTCCAGGTTCTCAGTGACTAAGAAGAGTCATAAAGGTCCATATTTGTTTCAGATTCTTTTCTATGAAATAAATTTTTTTTCTCTTCTCATGAAATATATCTGTGTTCTAGTTATAGCACTTTCTCAGCTCCCAATTGGGGAAGATGATATCAGTAAGGTGGGAGAAGATGACAAATATTTTTTATAAATATGATCTTGTGCCACACAGATGGTTATTAGAAATGATAAAAGTGAAAATATTAGACCAAAGAGATCCTCTAGATCCTCTTCAAAGGTATATGGTGTTTAGCATAGTCACCTGCTTGGAATCTGTTTTCGTGTCTCTTTTGAAGTTCAAGGAAACAGAAAGTGCCAAAGAGATAACTGAGAGTAGAGGAATGTTTGCAGCAGAGGAGATGTGCCTTTGAGGAGTTTGGCAAAGAGGCGCAATCATTCCTCAACAGCAGTCAACTAAGGATAGAAACTTTGTGAGGCAAAGCATGACCCTGTGTGCAGTGGTTAGGTGGCAGATCACACCTTACTCAGATCTGCTTATAGTAATACCATGCAAGACAGGCATGAAAATAATATGGTATTCCCCTTTGGATAAGATGAATCTTCTTATTTTAGGCTAGATAAAAGGACTTAGCCTAAATTATTTTCCTTTCAGCTGAGTTTTCCTTCAAAGAGCCCCACATTGATTTCTACATACATTTTTTTTTGGTCTCAAACTGCAGAGAATTCTGAAATGCATTTTATGCACATGTAACAGTAGAGTCAGTTCCCACTCAGGCATTTCCAGAGGGTAGTTAGGTACTTGGGGATACCAAATCCACAATTTTGGGCCAGTGGGTCCAGTTACTGAGTTCATTGAAAGATCAGGATGTTTGATGTTCTAGAGACCAAACAGTGGGATTATTGAATGAATACTTCATTTATCATTTGGGTGATTCTGTATATTGAAGAGCATCTACTGGCCATCTTAAAGACCAGTGGTCAAGGAAAGTCAGTAGGCCTGTTGAAAACTTGCCTTGCAGTCTTTTTTTTACAAAAGACTTTTCTCCCTTCCTATTGAATATACCTAGACAATAAAAAGAGAAAGACCATACCTGTAATATTCATCTCCCACAAAGAAAAGGGTCTTCTGTGGCTTCTTGAGATAGACAGCAGCATCTATTCTCTGCACATGCCTTGGAAACCCAAAGTCATAAATAGTCCGAGGAGGACCTTGCATTTGGAATCCTCGTGTTATCCAGTAGTGGGGGCCTGAAAACAGAAATTAAATTTTACACAAAATTCTGTATCATTTAGTGATGCCTGTCACTCCTGAAGATGTATATGTAGGACCCTAAGTGGAACTTGTGCCTGAAGGTATTTGCCATGACTATAACTCAAGATGAGATATAAGCCTCTAATTATTCAATTCAGTAAAAGATTTGAAGTTTCCATGGAGACAAAAATCTCTAGTTATGCTTTAAGGAAACAATAATATGGATACAATTGTGTCTTATGTTTAACATCTTTAGTATTTCAAGATACCTTTCATTTTTAATCTAATTTCCTCTTCAGACACATGAGAGAGGAGGGTCAAGTGATGTGCAAAAGCTATAATTCTCACTTACATTGGCACCAGTCTTCCACCCTTATCCGTCAGTATCAAGAAAATATAAGCAAAAACTGATAGTTATCACTTCTTGGATAATTTCATTGGCTAGCTATTGTCACAATACATCTTCAGGGTTGATGTGTTCAAGGACCTCAGTAGAATATGCCATGTTACTCTGAGCAGCATGGGGCAGGGACCAGGTTTTAGATCCCTGACCACAGTACCTCATGTGTTCCTCACAAAATCAACAGCTAAGTTCTGAAAACAGTAGATGGTCACTGATATTTATGTCATTGTTACAAAGTAGGGTGGCTTTTTCTTTTTTTGGTACCAGGGATTGAACCCAGGGGTGCTTAACTACTGAGCCATGTCCCTAATCCTTTTCATATTTTATTTTGAAACAGAGTCTCCATCAGTTGCTGAGGCTGGCTTTGAATTCAAAATCCTCTTGCCTCAGACTCCCAAGCATCTGGGAATACAGATGTGTATCACCTAGGGTAAAATTTCATTCCCAACCTGAGAAGGAGCAACTGAAAACATGCTCCATGATCCTGAACTACTACTGTCAGAACTAGATATTCCAAATAGGTGGGTACTGTGCTCCTGTTGTTTCTTTCTCTGAGGGATCTATAGGATACCTTTGAAGAAGTAAGCAGTGCCCCTCTCAGCCACTTCGTAAGCTGCATCCACGTTGGACATGAGCTGGGGGAAGGAGCTGGTGATAGTGCTGGGCCGAATCCCTGCTGGCACGTGAACCTGCCTTCGCCAGAAAATCCTATTGGGCATTCCAGAAGAAATCAGAACAAGTTTTAGATCTTCAACTGCTTGTGAACTAAGATGTTACTGCTAGCCACACTTCAGGGGTCATTGCTAAATCCCTTTTGTAACCTTATAAACAGTTTCTTCTCATCTTTGTTGTCTTAGCATCTTTATGGTCCTCTTTCATTTACTTAGGGATGTTCAAGACACCCAAGATATAGCAAGGAAAATCCACCAATGATTTATACATCAATGCTGTGCATTCTACTTCCAGATACTGCATGAGATGAATTTCTCTTTCCTGTTCTGATTTCTTAAAAATTAAAATTTCAAAAAGAGAAATAGAAGAAAGTGAACATAATAATACTATGTAATAGTATGTATAATGAATCAGATTTTGTGTTTGGGAGATCCTAATTATTCCTTATGAAAACATTAAATAATCATAAGTTCTGGTATTGCTATGTAACTGTCTATTGGAAGTGTTTACATCTTTGAGCTGGTTGGATAATTAACAGAAAATCTAATATCTACATATTACTTTAAGATTTAGCAACTTAGTCATCTGCTTGTCCAATATCATTTTCATAAAATCTTGGCAAGGTACACATGAAGGTACTGAGCCAAACTCTCAGTGTAAATGTGGTCCATTTTGCATTTTAGAGGTGGAAACTGTTTTTCCCCCCCTAAAACATGTTTACTTGGATTCTTAGAAGCCCATAATCAATGCATAAGATTATTTTGAACAGAGAGAAACTGTAATAAAATTCTGACATTTAACTTTCCATGTAGTTAGCTTAGAAACTCCCCAAATCTTATGTTGAATTTTCCTACTCAACTAACAGATATTTTTGGAGCACCTATCAGATGCTGTGATAAATATCAAGGATGAAACACTGAACAAGACCAAAGTGCTTATAGTCTGGTAGTAGAGACTGAAAAAAAATTAGGCAATTCTAATTCAGAGTGATCTATACTACACAGTTAAGTTCAGGATGCTCTGGGAAAATGAAAGAGGGATACCTGATTACATCCAGGGGTTTAGTGAAGGTGTTCCAGAAGAGGCAATTTAAACAGATGAGGAAATCTCAAAACAAACAAACAAACAAACAAACAAAACCCAAAATATTAAGGAAAAGGTATTCCTTATTTCCTAAGAGGTATTATGACATAGAAGAAAAACCATCATTACAGAAGATGTTCTAGCTCAAAATTCGGTTTCATAATATCTTAAATGGGAATAATCATTTACTGGCTAATTATCATGAAATATTTAAGAGGATTAAATGGGATAATGTATGTGAAAAAACATTATAAACTGCAAAATGAGCACCAGACATGCTTCACCATGCCTGGTGATCTCTGTTTTTTTTGTTGTTGTTGTTGTTTGTTTGTTTGTTTTTTCTTTGTTTATAACTCTACTTTTTTTTTCCAATGAGACCTGGCCTTTTCTGAAAGAAAGACAAACTGTATTCCCTTCTCTATTCTTTGTATTACTCACTTAGCACTTAGGGTTTTCAGAAATGTTCAGAAACTACTTCTTGCCCTAATTAGGAACCCGGTGTGGAATCTGAAAAGCAAGTGTTTTCCAGTTAATGTAGTTCAGTAAAACAGTTGTGATATGCTGACCCTGTTCAGGCCCCTGAGGTAGAGTGGGCATTTCAGGGATTTGCAATAGTCAGGCTGAGGACATGAGGTAGTATTAAGAGGAGGCATAGAAACAGACATGCCCTTCCACAACCAGGCTCTGTCTGAATTATGTCTCTGATGAGGTGTACCCAATTTCCAACTGCTTTCTCTCTGGGCATAGTAAAGCTGGGAAGAATTTTCTTTCATTTCTCATTTAAAAATCAAGAAGGATTCTAGGCAAAATTAACCCTACCTTTTTATTCATTTATTTTTGTTAATGTATTATAATTATACATAACAGTGAAATTGATTGTTAAATATTTGTACTAATCATAAATCTGACCTTTTATATGGAGTTATTAAACTTTGATGTCCTGAATAACTCAATATGAGTGACACAATGACTAAAGAAGAAGGCAAACCAAAATATACTTTTGAAAATGTTTACAGGTGAGAGAATCTTCAATTTCTTACTGTATCAACCTTGATTAAGGATACTGTGAGGACTAAATTTAAATAGCACATTCTAAATCAAGAATGATTTTTGTGCTCCAGGGACAAAATGATCTTGTGCCTAGTGACAATTTTGGTTGTCAAATTAAGGCCACCCGGACATCAGAGCCAGAGATGCCACTCAATACCCTACATCACAGGATAGCCCAATGTAACAGACTTGCTTGAGTGAAAATATCAGTAGTAGCAAAATTAAGAAATCTAATGAAACACTGTTATGATGTATTATAATGTATGCATTGTTTGCATAAGAAAAATAAATGCTATCCATCACTTATATAAATTATCAAAAATTTCAAATGGAACATGTAATCAGTCATAAAAAAATCCCCATAAACCAATGGGGAAAATTATATCTGCCAGATAATAACACAATAGAACACATATTAAGAGGATTTACAATTTTAGAGCTATTTATCTCAGTAAAAAAATGTATTAAAATTGACCCCAAAAAGTATAGCAAGTAACATCCCGATTTATCTGTAAGTGGATTTAAAATATAAACCAAAAAATCTATAAGTCTGTCAGAAAAGAATAGCTGTGTAATATATTGGAACTATGTAATGAAAACAGATAAAAGAGATCATATCAGTAGTCCATATTTGATCTTTGATAAGGAGGGCGAAACAATGGAGCTTATTGATATTTTCAACCAGCTGATTAGATATTTAGCTGCACTATTTATCTTTGTGTACCAATAGCTGACGCTGTGCCTGGTACATGATCAGGGTCCAGTAAATATTTATTGGCTAAATAAATAAGTACCAGAGAATTGAGCGGAACATATTTGATCAGCAAATTTCATATTCTCTGAAATTTTCATTTCTTTTTACTGTAGAACAGTAACTAATTCATCAAATGTCTGGTGCGTCTTTGATCCATATTGTGGAAGCTTTGTTCTTCTTCTTCTTCTTCTTCTTTTTTTTTTTTGGCACGGGGCATTCACTGAGCTACACCCTCAGCCTAAACCTTTGTTCCTTTTGTGTTATACCCAATCATCACCACTCTCCACCTACCCAAGCAGAACCCTGTCAGTCTTTCATTTTCAGGAGATGCCTTCACCCATTTGGAGAGTATTCAGGCAATTCAGCCTGAGCTGAATGAGCGCTCTCATTTTCTATTGATAAATCTTCAACCTCACTTTCTCCCTGACTCAGTTATTCTCTGTCATTCAGAGGAAGCGATGTCTTATTTCTTTCTGGCTTTCTGATGCTCTCAATTTAGTTACTGCTTGCTCTCCTGAGATCAGGCAATATGGTTGCAATGAAAAAGAATCAAGGGATGCTTGGAACCCTTTTTTTGTTTTTTATCCTGGTCCTGTGAGTTGTTTAATTTTTCTGAGACGGAATTTCTTTCTGTCAAAAAAGAGTGAGAATAATATGTTTACAAATTTATTAATCTATGATGTATAAAATTCAAGCAGTTTTTTTCAACATCAGTAAATTTCCTACTTAATTTGTCTCGTTGGAAACTTTGAAGTACACACCATTACATCATTGCCTGAGAAGCCATTCATTTTGTGGGTTCACTGATCAGGGCTGATGATCTCAGAATACTTCAGAGGCCAAGAAATCAACCACGCATCCTCTACTCCACTGAACCAAGAAAAATACAGCTTATAAAATGAAAGGCCCAGATGTAGACAGTGACGTGGGTTAAAAATAGTCAAAGCTGTGCATGGTGTCCTTAAATTAAGAATGTTTACAGCCATCTGAGGAACCCACAGGATCCATGTTTAGAAGCCATGCCCTGTGAAGGCGAAGCTCGCCATCCCTCACTCAGGAGAGAGTTCAGGAGAAAGAACACAGAGTCAGAGAACTTTGTTCACCTTCTGGCTTTTTTTTTTTCCTGAATTTTTAATTCATCACAGAGAACTGGTCTACGTAACTACAAGTCTACCCTATAGCCAGAAAAGACATAGCCCCAGGCAGAGCATGGAGGAGGAAGACTTGCTCCCCCATGTGGGGCTCTCTTCAAGCCCACGGAATCCTGGGAAATGTGATTTCAAACATACCAATCGCAGTGGGCACTGATGGTATCGTCCTTCCTTCCTACAGCATTTCACTTTTCTTTTTCTGCATTGGCTCCTTTTCATGTCTTCCAACATGAACATTTCCCATTTTTGAAATTCTCTTTTGACCCTGCTGCCTTTGCCAGCTGTTTGTCATTAACAAAACTCCCAAATGAACATCCATCTCTGCCATTTGCACTGCGACTCCCTGGGGCCTCGGCCCTTCCTCACTCCTGTGCTGTGACTATGTTCCCTAAGTGTCACCGGCAGTTAGTCCCTTCTCTTCAGCCCTCCATCTGGCGACTTCAGCAGTGTTTTCCATTGTTGATCATTAAAAATCAAAACAACAACAACAAAAAGATGAACCTCCTTTCCTGGATTTATCTAGGATTCAACCACAGGGATTTTGTGGCTGCTATCAAGCAAACCAAAATTAAAATTCTATCTGAGGACGGTAACTGTGTGAATTTAATGAGCAAATGTGTGTAAAATGCTCAGCATCTTACACAGCAGGTCATAAAATGACCATGAAATGTCAGCTATTATCCCTCTCGTGGTTGTCATTTCTCTTGGAATGCTGCTTCACTCTCGCCTTTATTAAGTGCTTTTCTCCACTGCAGTCACTTCCTTTCTTCCTCTTTATTCTCTCTTCCATTCTGTTACGCACTTCCTATTTTTAACTGCCTCCTCTGTGTGGGAGATTCAAAACCCACGAAACTGCCAGCTGTGACCCCTTCCCTGGGCACTTGCTTATTTCTATGAAACCCCTCTACAATTGCCAGTACTTTAAATCTGACACATCTAGGATAGACTTTGTTTTTCATGTGTCCCAAATCTCGTGATTCTCCTGTGTGGACAACACCATCACAGCACAGCCATGAGGCTGCTCCCTGCTGGGGCCCTCCTCTCTCACTGGTGAATCCATCAGCAGCCTCTTATACCCATCCTTCCCTTACAGATGATTATTATTATTAGTAGTATTATTCTATGAGATATGCAAAATCTTTTAAAATGTGAGTGTGAGTTAGCGATCAACAGATTGTTAAAAATAAAGAATCCTATTTTTGAGGAGAGAGAGAGAGAAAAAAAAATCCTTTCCTTGCTGCCTGCTGGCTCCCAACCTGTAGGCAGATGGTCTGGGAACAGCCTGGAAAAGACCAATGTGCAACAGTTCAAAAAGCCCATGTTAATTCATGTTAAAGTCCAGTGCTTTCCTTGGTAGTTCCATTTCCTAACTTGCAGATTCCCCATATTAGGAACTGGACAGACTCTGGCCTGCAGTGGATGGTCTTCGGGCTGAGATGGGGGTCTAGTTTCTTCATCATTAAATAAATATATTATTCATAAATCTATTATTCTTCTAAGATCTGTAGCTGATTGTGATGGTCTTGATTTTATCATTAAAATTATGATGGGAAAACCCCCAAATAGCCTGGAAGATATAATATAATTTTAATATGACTGCAAATCCAGTCATTTTTCTCTTTTCTTTTGTAACTAATGAAGGAAGAATGAAATAGCCTTAATGTTTTGTCATGTATTATAAAGAGCAAATGAAAGTGCATATCTATATAAATATCTACTTATGCCTTTTAACTGATTGTAGGTGAGCTTTGTTCTTTTCACCAGATCATTGGAATGTACATGTACACACTAGGGAGAATATCTAACAATCTCATGGGGCCTTTACAAGGTCCTGCATTCCATCTTGCTTTGGAAACAAACTGCATGGTTATTATGCCACAGCTTGCAATGTCCCATTAACAGATTATTGTTGGTGACGGGGAATTCCGGGCTGGTGAGTGGGAGAGAGCAGATCAGAGCCCTTTCATAATCAGTGACTCTCTGATTGCCATTCTAACTGTGGCTTGAAAGAATTCTTTGTTCTTTGTCCAGACTGAACAAATACTTTGGGACTTGTGGTGGCAGCTGGTAGGGGATCAGAGCTAGGGAGTCCTGGAATCCCAGCTCTGGATGGCACCTTGGAGCAGTAGAGCAGTGTAGTTAGGAACACTGACTCAGGAGTGTGATAGCAGGTTTGCACCCCAGCTTCACCCTCTTGAGCTATATGCTTCTGAGCAAGTTGTTTGTCCTTCCTGTGTCTTGTAGAAAGAGAATAACACCTTTGTAAGGATTTGATAACAAGGTGCTTCACATAGTAAGTTCTGAACAATTGAATTCACTATTAATAATCAGACAACATCCTAATTTTACAGAGAAGACAGGCTCAAGGTCTCTGGCAAGTTAAAGGCAAAGCCACTTCTGACTTTTATCCTCCTTACAGCTTTTCCTCATTCTTTGGAATGACCTGTCCAGCCCCAATAGCTCAGTACATCCTTAGTAAGCCATTTCCCCTTCGCTAATGTCCCACCTTCGCTTACTCATTCCTACAGGTCTCTTGTATCTGCCTTCTGTCCATTCTGTTTTCACTCTCAGCGTTCATAGTCAAAACGCCAAAAGATGTGTCCTCTTCAAATGGTCATTAGTCATTGCTAAGTGTTCATAGTGTGATAGAGGGTTTTTGGTTTGGTTCTGCTTTTTAAAGAAAATAATTATAATTGAATGCAAAGGTATAGTATCCTGACTACACCGTCTCCTTTGCCACTACCACAGCCACTGATATTTATCAGAAGAAGCAGCTACGCTCTACACAATGGCCTCACTTCTTTATCCCTGAATGAGGGCTGCGTGCTGTTCAGTGTCCGGACACTCTTTCACTGTGGACTCTAATAATGTTAAGCTTCAGGTGAATCCTCAGCCCTGTGTCCCAGCTCTGCCTGCCCTCCACCTTGTCTACTACTCCTGGGGCAATGCCTAGGGTTCCATTAGGTTTACTTTTTGGTAAAGCAAAAGCTGCCAATGCCAAGATGGAGTTGCTTATATTAGACACGAACCAAAGCAGAGCTGGAAATCATGAGAGGTTCTTATGCTTCTCTGTGTGAGATAACAACTACTACCAGAACACTCTCACAGTTCAGAAAAAAAAAAAAAAATCCAGGTAAGTTGCTTCTGTGAAGCAATCAGTGTTATCAGTGAGTGATCTCCAGCACCTGCAGTGAGCCTCTGTGGCTGAAGAGCTTTGGTTCTGGACAGCTTGCAGAGAACATCTCCTTTTTTGCCTTCAAAAGCTTCCCCTTGCCCTAACCTCCTCAGATGCATCATAATTCAAGTAGCACGTGTACATGGACTGTGGTCCTCTGCTCTCTCTTAGATGAACTTGTGGTTTCCCTGGAGATCCTTTCTCTCTGTTGTTATTTTGATTGACAGTAATAGTAGGAAAAACTTCAATTATCAATAAATCTTAAAAAATAAAAAAATACATAAAAATGACAAAAATCATTTAGGTCTTCTAAATACCTTAGCCGTTTCTAAGCCTTTTTGCTTACATGAATTACATATTTTTTGATTCCCACTCCTATGCACAGCAACTGCCATTTACTGAGCCCTCACTTTGTGTCTGTGGCCTTATCAGTAAGAGGGAGGTTCCCAGCCTCTGCTCTGATTTGCCTTTGAAAAGTAAATACCTTTGCATTGTTAAAGATTTATTGCAAGCTGCACTTAATTTTAAAAAATTGGAAGCAATATAGATATTCTGAAATATGGGATTGGTTAATTAAGTAGTGGTATATCTATTCATTGGAATAATAGATAATATATGAAAGATTAAAATTAAAATTAATTGACATGAAAAAGTGAAATGATGTTGAGGGAAATACATTTCAAAATCAACACAAGTAGTAAAATCTTATTTTTGGTAAATGTTTGCCTTCTCATATTAACAATAGATAACTTTTGATCCAGAGAAAGAGTCTGAAAGGATTTACAAAACCATGGTTAACAATGTGATCACTCTGTTACAAATTGAGTGTTTGGGCCACTCCTTCCCCTAGCTCATAGGCTGAAGCCCTAACCTCCAACTTGATGATATTTGGAGGTGGGGCTTTGGGAGACAACAGGTTTGGGTAAAGTCATGAGGGCAACACCCTTATACTAGCATTTAGTGCCCTTATAAAAGGAGACATCGGAAAGTTCTCTCCCTCTCCCTACATGTGTATGAAGAGGCCACGAGGGGGGCTGAGGGGGCGGCTGCCTATAAGGCAAGAGAAGAGGCCTCAGGATGAGACCTACTTTACAGGAACCTTAACTTTGGACTTTTCAGTCTCTAGAACTGTGAGAAATACATTTCCATTGTTTCAGCCACCCTGTCTATGATGTTCTGTTATGGCAGCTTGAGTGGAATAATGCATTCTGGGTGGTGGGATTCTTTTGTATATTTTGTTACTCTCTCTCTCTCTCTTTTCAGAATAAACAAAAAGTATTTTTGTAATAATAGGTTAAAGATCTATTTCCCAAAGAAACATCAGATTTCTCAGACATCATCTCCTCAGTGAAGTCTCTCTGGACCTCTCAGGTACTTATTCCGTGTATTGGTCTCATAGTTCTTCTATATTTTAGAGCTTGTGTCTTGCCATGATTTTTGAGTGTCCTTCTGTCTCAAGCAACTATGAGGTGAGCAAAGGCAGAGAGGATGTTTATCCATTTTTACATCCCTAGACATTACAGTAGTGCTTGGCACCCAATATGGGCCCAATGGAGAAAAACGATAATGCCATACACACATTTCTGAGCTCCTCTGACTATCCTGGTGTGATTGGATTCCATCTCCAGTGTAGATAAATGTGGCTATTTCTCTTTTCTTCCATGAAAAGAATAAATTACAGTAACCAGTGTTATGGAGGCAGCAGCCATGTTCCCCTAGAAGCCAGAGAGAGGAGAGGAAAGGGATCTGTCTTCTGTATGCTATCTGACAGCTAACGGAAAGGAGGAAAGTTGGAAGCCTTGAAGAAGAGATTACCACCCACCATCATCCAATCATCTTCCTATTTGCCTCTTTGTCCAAATAGTCAACCAAATATTTATTGAACACTTACAACATGCTCTCTCTAGGCACATAGTAGTAAAGAGAACAGATATCAGATAAATTTGGGCTAGTGTCTTACTTCAGCCACTTAACTGCTATCTTGGGAATTTTCTCTTTGAGTTACTTTCTTCCTCCCTAAATTAGGAGTTCTGATCTCTACTGTGATAATGTTTAGAAGAAACACTGCACATGTATGGAAAGCACTTCACACGATACCAAGATTATGATAGTTTGGGCAGTTCTTTATCTCTGCAAAGACCCTTGCTGTTCACCCTACTGCTATTCAAGACTGCATTTACACATGAACTTCAGACAGGGCAGCAACAATGACCTCTGAAGGGATGTTTGTCTGGAGGTGATCCGAGGCCTGACAAGAGTTGGGGGTATGTCTGAGGCTTACCGGTCCCTGAAGAACAGAAGCTCCTTCCCCAGCATTGTCACGGCATCAAAGGATGCTCTGGAGTCACAGGGATCGGGGTTGGATGGCTTGTGAGGAGGGACATGGGGAATAGTGGGTTTTCCCAGGAATGGTTTCCGAGGTCCTAGGATTCAAAGTGTCTTGGTCAAAATGGTACCAGGAATTTGGAGTTTGTACACTTCTGCTCTAGAGACACAGGGGCTTGTGCACTTTCATTCTGTATGTGTTATGTCATAAAAAATGGCAGGTAGATCTGGGTTTGAATCCTGGCTGCCCTCATTGCTGAGCTGTGTGATTTGAGGCAGATAATTTAACTCTTTAAAGCTTCAGTTTCCTTGATTATAAAACGAGAACTGTAATAATAGACTCTACCTCCAAAGACTTTTATGAGAATCAAATAATGCCTGAAATCACATATGAATGCTTAGCCTATAGTCAGTGTTTAAAACATGGTTGCTATTATTTTGTTGTTATACATAATTTCTTTGATATATAAGTTATATTTTAAAAATGTAACTTAAAATTTTCCTTAATTATTTCTTGGTAATTAATTTCTATTTTTCCCCCCTCATTTAGAGTGTCACTTCCTTGGGTGCTTTTAAATTTGTTTATTTATTCTTTGGCATTTTGTACTGTGCTTAAACCTTTACTAGGCACCCAGGAAAGACTGAATGAATTCATGTGGAGATAAAGCACCCTGAAGGTTTTTGCTATTGAAAGGTATCTTCTGGTAGATCTGTTTGTAAAATAGGGATCCACTCCTTGGAAGAGCAACTAGTGAGTCTTCATCTCCCACACTCCATCTCTGAGCACTACCTGCCATAACAAACCTATGTTATTATTATCTGTTCACTCCTGTATAAATACCCTGTGAAAAAACGTGCTTTGGCTCCTGGCTGAGAAGGATGGTGCCTTGCAGCCCACAAGCACCTATAAAGGTGAGTCTTTGGCTTGGCCCTTCTTAGCAGCCCATAAGAATTGCATCACATTGCAGTTTTGCCCCTGGATGCTCTGGAGTAGAGTATGTGAAATAGAGGCATTCACAGTATTTCCCCTGTCCCAGCGTGGAGTGGAAGTGGCATCTAACCTTTGTGGAAATTAAAGCTGGCTGGCTGAAGGCTTCTTTGGATAAAAATTTGTCTTTTGTGTGCAAGGTGACATATGAGTGCTTGCAGATGCAGCGCCCCTTTCTAGTTAGCAGGTGGACTGGCAAATGCTCAAGAAGTCACAGGGCTCTGGCTCTCCTGGCTCTCTAGGCTTAGAGGATGTGGAGAGGCTCTGGCAAGACTGAGTAACCAGGACTCCAAGGTCCAAGGGAAAAATCAGTCCCCTAAAGTTTTCTACCTTTTTAGTCACTGAAGAAAAATTATCATCTTATAAAAGAATTCAGTCTTTCCTGGGTGCCTAAGAGTGGGTCCCTGTTTTACACACAGATCCACCAGAAGATACCTTTCAATAGCAACAACCTTCACAAGAATTCATTCAGTCTTTCCTGGGTGCCTTTTTATGAATGGATTGATTTGTTTTCCCTTTAAGGAAACTCGGATATAGTTTCTAGTAATATTTTATTACCTTTTGAAAGAATGTTAACACTTGAGATAATTTTGAATATCTTAGACCCTCAGCTTTCTCAGTTATCAAATGAGGAAAATATCCTACACCCTACAGTCATGTCATGAGGATGACATGAGATGACATATGTGAGTATGTTTCATAAACTGCAGACTGCCTATGCGTCTGGGTGGTGGGGTTATAATCATCATCATTTCTATTTTTAGGAATATAAGGCTACTTGTCTGCAAATGGGGAAGCACCGTATACATGAATTGTAAAATATATGCATCCTCTCTCAAAGTATAAATTTGACTTGCACTGAAACCTTTACTAGGCATCCAGGAAAGACTGAATGAATTCTTGTGAAGATGAAGCACCCTGAGGTTTTTGCTGCAAAACAAAACAAAACAAAAAATAAACAACAAAAAACAAACCAGATAATGGCCATTTTTCTACAGCCATCCAGGTTCAGAATGCTCTGGAGGAAAGATGCAAATTAAATTGCACATCTTAGGAAAAAAAACAATGTTCATAACTGGTAAATAGGCTCTTGACAGAAGATATCACTGGGTCTGGGTCTCCAGCTTAATTATTACCTATATAGGTAACTCCTGGCAAAATGCCCTTTCTCTAAGTTGGAGACCAAATGCCTGTCACTTTCAGGATTAGTGGGCAAAGAAATGTAGCGATCATACCGTACAACGCCTGGATCCCTTTTACATCATCCTTGGGCAGGCGGAATCCATAGGGATTCTGGTACTTATACGTGGGGTACATCAGTGCTGTTGGGTCGCTGGAATGGGCCAGGCCCAGGGCATGGCCAAATTCATGAGCAGCAACAGTAAATAAATTGAAACCTAAACAATGTGAGAGAGAAAGGCAGCATCAACACAGGTTTTTGTTTTCTCTCTCTTCTCTCTTTCCAGGAGAATTTATGCCCAAATCACAGTTAACTCATGTCCTTTTCATAGCTGGATTGTTCAGAGGTTGGTAGGCCATTGTGGCAATTAACTGACTTTAGTCTAGTTCTTTCCCCTTGTTGGAGAGTAGGGGATGATAGAAATGTAAAACAGTCCAATTTCTTTTTTTCTTTTTTTGTCAGTGATGCTTGATAGATTGATAAAGAAGGGCCTTTGAGCTAGTAGTGGCAAAATAATACAGATTTAGACCACAAATGCTTGAACAGTTTTCAGTTCTCACAGCCTACTTCTATTTATCCACATTTCACACTGATCTCCAGATGACCTGCATGATATTCTGGAAGCTTTTTACCCATCCCCATCACACTTCTTAGGAGAGTACAGATTCCCTTGGGTCACTTCTGAATGTAGCTTATTTCCAAGTACAAGTGAGAAACAATAAAATGTCGAATTACTGAAGAAAAGGAGAGCTGTGTGTTGAGGAGGGCATTGCTGTTTCCTGAGATTTTTATGCTATTAAACAGATCAGACAAGTCTACAGCACAATCTTGGGTGGATCTTTTCCCTTATGGAGTTCCCTTTTGGATTTTTGGCTTACTTGTTTTTCCTAGCCAGCCTCCCTAGTTAAAGGGTGGCTTGGGACGTTGAACCTCAAGGTTTCATGATGGAGGCCCAGGAGAAGGTACAATATTTTCCAGGTTATGGTGAATTGTGCATATATACCATTCATCCCCATAGTCCACTTCTCAGCATTGTCGAAATGTGTGTCTCCTCCCAGGCCTTCTCCAGGTGCAAATGCATGGGCTAGAGTCCCTCGAGGCCCATCAAATGGATAGGAATCCCCATGATCTAAATAACAGGAAATAGGATTAAGTCCTAGCAGTTCTGAGGGGCAGAGAGAATGAACAACACTTTGAATAGCATTGACACTTAAATTTACTTTCCCAATATTCATTGTTATAAGAAGTTCACATATCAACAGTAACTGCCCATTGAAAAATAAAAAGTACAACTTCATACTTCAGAGGTAGCATTAAAAATGAAAAACCTTTTTTTTGTGTGTGGTTGTTTTTATGGTGACAAGCATCCTGTGAGCTATGCATGTACCTTAGATTACAAAAGAAGAAAGAACAAGGGGACATTAGATAGTAACCTGGTCACTGATTGGAACGCGCACATTTGGCAGAAAGGACTTTTGAAATACGAGTCAGCTGAGAGGGTGTAGTAAATTTAACAAGCTTTTTGATTATCCCACAATATAAGTCAATTTAAGGAAGTGTTGAAAAGGAAAAAAGGAAATTTATGTATAATTTTTAAATACCTTCATGTGTGAAACTCATGAAATTTAGGGAAAATTCTAACCTTTGAAGTTCTAGGTTTTTGTTTTATTATCTATATTTAAATTAACCTTTCATTGGGAACTTAACAGAAAAGAAGGAAGAACAAAATGAGGGATGTAGTAGAAGCTACATTTTACAATTTTTTTTCAGAATCTTTGTGAGTATGCCCTATTTTTTTTTTTTTAAACCAACAAAACCAAAGTCCAGTTGCAGCATTTCTCCGGTGTCAGTGCAATGAAATTTAACTTGGGTGCCTGTCCTGAGGACATAATGATGACTGCAGGGCCCCTAGTCAACCTTTGTATTAGGGGACAGGGTACCAGCTTGAAAGATGAGAGCCATATATTAACTACATGGCCCCCAAAGCTGCCTTGAGTCACTGTGCCCTGACACTTCCCCAAGAGGCATTGGTCCTCTGGGAGCAACAGTAACCGCCAAGGGCCAGGGCCATTTCTTAAGGATTTGTGCTCAGGACTTGTTTGATCTCTCTCTCTCTCAGCCCTTAACTATGTTCTGCCCCAGAGGCATCAGACTAAAATTAAGATCAAGACTTGAAATGTCAAGGGTACGTAGAAACATTGTCAGCAGATGGCAAGAAGCAGCAGCTCTCCTGTATCTCAACCATTAGGAAGCTGAGAAGGGAAGGGGACTTCATAGGCTATTTGACTTCCTTTTACTTCCGACACGTTTCTCTGTAAAGGGTTCAGAACTCTCCGTGGATCACTGTGCAGCTCATGCTCTACTCCTTAGTATTCCGTGTGAATGCACCTCCCAATAGGTAGTCTACAAGGAACCATTGCTGTGGGTGAAAGGCTGCCTCAGGGACACTGAGGAATTCAGTGAAAACTTGTCACCGTGAGTCTGTTCTACAGCTGAGTCTCTTGATGGCCAGATAATGCTCAGAACTCGTGGGTTCCGTTTTCTGACCAGATGAAGGCCATGGTCTAGGCCTCTGCCCTTCACCACACCACGTGATGGAGAATCGTGCTGATCTCTTGGATCAAGTATGTAGAAGGAACACTGTTGGAACAGTTGTCCTTTGCTCTAGTAGATGAAATTCAAGAAGCACCACAGTACCTCCAGTTTCAAAAGAGATCATAATATCGGCTTCTCCCGAGTTTATTCTAACAAAGCTCAGAGGGACGGCGCTGCTCCAGGCCTGCAGGGCCATCTCTACTGCTTTTTCCACTTCAATAGGACTCATGGAAGATGTGTATTTGGCTATTCTGTGAAAAGAGAAGGAACGAGTTCTTCAGTCAGTAATTGTTCCCAAGCGACGAAGGCAAGCACTATGTTATAGCTTGTAAAAAACCAAAACGGTTGAATGTACATCTGTAATTTAAGGTTTTTTCCCTCTGAAACAATAATTCTTATTTTGCTTTTTATAATATGTTAAGTTGCTTCATGTTAACCAACAAGACAAATGAAGGGGAGAAACGGAAGTCGCGGTGATCTGGTACTGAAACGGTTTTGTTTTTATTGTCATGGCACTATTACTCAGTTTAAAGAATAATACTTGTATAACATTACAGTTAGTAAGAAGTGTATTTTCCTGAAATTGGTTTTAATTGAGAGATGGCCTCTTTTTCCTCAAAAGGGCAACTGAATTTTTCAATTATAAAAAAATAAAGATGTGCATTTTGGGGGCTTTTCAAATTCTCATTCAAAGGGCAGTGGGATTTCCCCAGGACTGTTGGGGAATGTTTTTTTTTCTTAACATAATGCCTTCTCAAAGAGGAAATCCTAGCTTTAAAAAAGGATGCTCATTGGGACTGGAAAAGGAGGGCAGGGAGCATTTCAGCAAGTCCTGGTGTGACAATGACACCTAAAGGCAGAAAAATATAGTGCTTTTTGGGCAAATAATGGGTAGAAACAGAGACAGTGGTTCTTTGCTCTGAAGCCTGGGGCCTGGGGTTTCTGGCAGCAGTATGGAAAAGGAAGGGCAGGAGAGAGGAACATCCACCTGGGACCTTGGGCTGGGCTGGAATACCATTGTGTGCCAAGCCACCTTGGAGCAGGATCTGAGCCTCCTTTCCCTCTTCCTCTAGTTACTGCTCCAGTGTTTTGCACATAGAAGATTCTTGGGAAATGATTGATAAATTAAAGAATAAAAGTTAGCCACTTAGGGACTACTCAGTGTGTAATCAAACTTTAAGACCCTCGATTACTACCTAGGAAGTTTGTTAAATATACAGGTGTGGTCCAGGAATCTGCATTGCAGCAAGCAACCTTGGTTATTCTGATAAATGGTACAACTGCAACCAGAAACCAATAACTGGGGTTCTAAAAGAAAGGACCATGTTGGACAGAGAGGATGGTAAATAGCTCATTTCAGAACTTGGAGGGGAAGGAACAAGGAGATCTTAAAACCCAGGAGTTGGGACCAAAAGGAGGTAGTTATAAAGGGGAAAACCAGAAAGACCCTTAAAATAACTATTTAATGTTGTCAAAATATGCCAAGCCTACGTTGCAGTATCAATCTGTAATTTATCACCTTGTATAGTTAGTACCTTGGAATTTTCTCACATTATAGACAAGTCAGGTGTATCTTTGTGTCGATTATGTGTATAAAGAGAAAATCCTGACCCAGAATCTATTGAAAAAGCAACAGTAATCATAGTTAATATTCTTTGAACAGATACCGTAAGCACTATTTTGTATTTTGTGTGTGTGTGTGTGTGTGTGTGTTTGTGGTGATAGAGATCAAACCTGAGCCTCACACACCCTAGGTGTGATCTACACCCTAAACTCAGCTCTATTTAACTGTTCTCTATTATCTTCTTCTCAAAACAACCGATGAGACAGATAATTATCATCATCATCATCATCTACATTTTCTGATTAGTCAGGATTTGAGCCCAGTTATGTCTGACTTCAAAGTTTATGTATATAAGCATTATATTGTATTTTTCTTTTTAAATCATCTAGTATTTGTTATAAGAAGTTATTCTGACATCTAGTAGCTACTGTATTCTGTACAGACAGGTTGCTAAGATCACTTCTTTTGTCTTTGAAGGGTGAGGAAATAAGGAACTTGAAGGGAGCAAGAATGGATGGGTAGTATCTGTTGAGGGATTATGGAGTTGCCCGATTTATCATGGAACATTATGTTTCTCCAAGTGCTATGTTATCTTGATCCATGCCCTTTGTTTTTGTGGTGCATAGTCATGGACTAAAATTCTGGGACAGTTTGAAAAACAAAACAAAAAACAAAACAAAACTATGAAAAGATTCCATGGATTTATATGCCAGTTCTGCCCTAGTGGCTTTGATTTTTTTGTTCACAGCGCCACCTTATGGATTTTTGGGCTCCTAGCAGGTAATGGCCGAATCCTCTGCTCCCTGAGTGTGTGATCATGGTTACTCACCAGTGCTCCAGAACAGTTTAACAACTGGTTCTGCAAAGGAAAATAAAAGTCTCCTGATTTGTATGGTTTGCTGATTTCTGTGTTGTAAATATTATCACTGTGGCTAATTTCAGACTAGCGACTTGCCAGCCCTGATTGGGGAAAAAATGAGCAGGAGGGCACCATTGTGTAGTGTTTCTACCATACTGATAAAATAGATGCACCCAGCTTTGTAAATATAGGTGATAATAAAATGTAGGAAAACAGCAATATGTTTTGATTACTTTTGCTTTCTAAAATAATCTAATTGTTAATTTAAATAGTTTAATAATGGGTTTATCTTAGCAATGAATTCATAAAATTCTTGAGAACTTAACTGGCCCCCAAATTCCTGTCATTTTAAAGACTGCCCCCTGAATTGTTAGGAGCCAGCTCCAGCACACCAAAGCCTGAACTTCTGCAGCAGGCCTGCTTTCCTTACCTCTACATACCTTCTGGATGTGCTCATCCTTAAAATGCAATAGAATCAGGCCTGGCTCTCCACTACTGGGAAATAAAGTCCAAACATCACATTCTAGTTGCTGTTCAGGCTACTTCTCCAGCCTCGCTTCCCACAGTCCCCTTCCTCTGCCCTCTACGTAAATGGTCAGGCCATTTCAGGACTTGTACACTGGTGCAGGAATGCTGCCTAACACCACAGGCTGTTGTCCTCTCTGCTATTTGCTTCCCTTGCTTTTCTATGAAAAAAAACCCTATCATTTGCAAGAACTGGAGCCAGACTACAAATGGAGACCATTCTTTTCCAAAGCTACAATCATCTGGCATGTGTGTGGCTCACACTTGCAGGCACTATGCACTCTCCTGAAGCCTATTCTCAGGCCGTGGGGTATGCACTGTGGATGACCCACCCTTAGTTGAACTAATCTGTGAAGGAATTAGCCCAGAAGTAGGTCCAGGCTGCTGGAGAGGAGATTCTGGTCTCAATACCCAGAGCACAAGGAAGAAGGACAATGGTTCCTGTTAGCCGTGTCCTGTTGGTATGCACAGGAAGAGTCCAGAGGATGGGGTGAGGCAAGCTCGAAAGAACTGCTTTGCCTTCAGATCAGGCCTAGAGGTTACTGCCCGTCCCTGGCAACGTGGTTGCTCCCTCCACATTCTCCCACGGTTCTCTGCTTAGACCTATAGTTTCATTCTTTTCATGCAGAGTTGTAGCTGTCTTATGTCTGTCTCCCTGAAAGTTTTGTGAGATTCCTAAAGACTGTCATGGGGATCTAATCACCTTTACATCCCTTCAACTGAATGCCTATAGTAGACAGATAATAAATCATCACTAAATGATTTTTGGAATCAATAAAAAAAATTGTTAATGAATAAGTTTTATCTTTCTTTTTGAGCAGATTGTTTTAAGAAAACTGGTGGTATTCTTAGGTTATTAATCCTATACTAAATTACTTTTCCTTAAAGATTGATATGTTGTTTCTAACTGCTGAAATTATCTATAATGCCTAAGATGGCCAGTCATTGTGATAATCATGAGATTTTATTTTCAAGCAAATTGACCATTGTGATTGTTTGATGGACCTACAAAGTTCTTATTTTTTCTCATGGTTGTGAGGAGTCATGCTTTTTATACAGATCAGAAGGAAGATTTAAAAAAAGAGAGAGAGAAAGGGAGAGAGATATTCTTTATGAATTTGAAAAGACTGCATCTCATTACCTGTATGTTAAAGTATTTTTTTTCCATTTGGGTTCACCTGGGAAGAGGCGATAGTTGGCCACGTCAGGAACTCCACAGCGAGGCCTCTTGATCACATCCATTGTATTCTGGTCCAATTTCCCAGTGACTTGGAGGCCAAAGAATGCTTGTAGCTCCTTGATCTTCTTGACCATGGCGTTGCCTCCTCTTACAGCCATCTCACCAACTTGGTGACCACCTTTCTTTGTGTAATACTTGTCAAGATACTCCTGAAATGGACAGGCAGGCAGACACGTCTGTGGCATAGACTCTTGCTCAAGGTAAGATGGGACAATATTCTTTGTATAAAAGTAGTATGTAAAGTACATTCCCATTTTGAAAAAATTAGACATATTTGAATAGATACAGTATACATATGTCCTAAATTATTAATGATTATCTTTGAGTAATGAGGCTTTAGACTATTTTTTTTCTTTTGTTCACCTGCATTTTATAATTTTCCACAGCTAATCTAATGGATATGTATTATTGCTTTAATTTAAAAACTATGGAAGGAAAATGATGTGAACATTTCCCTTAGGAACTGAATATTTGTCATTGAAGTTCTTTATCCAATTTGCAAGACAAAGGCTGTTTTCTTTCATTATGCATAACGTGAGATCTGTGAGTCCTTAACTCTCAGAGGTATCCTATTCCCTCCTCTCCTCTGATCTAAATGCAGGGGTCAGTCTATTCAGTGGAGGCGTTAAATCAGTTCAGGTGGGTTGTGGGGTGGAGAGGTTTTAATTTTTTTTTTTTTTTAGTTGTAGGTGGACATAATACCTTTATTTTATTTATTTATTTTTATGTGGTGCTGAGGATCAAACCCAGTGTTTCATACATACTAGGCAAGCGCTCTACCACTGAGCCACAACCACCACCCGGTGGGGTGGAGTTTGTTTTCTTGGGGCAGGTTTCCTAAGACAGGCTCTTTATCCCAATAAAAAAAAAATGAGCCATAAATTATAAGGCTTCTTTTGCACATACGAACATAAAACCCCTTAGTATACACTGTCCGAAAACCCTTTGCTATGACGCAGGGCTGGGATTAGGATAAAGTGAATGAGGCAGCATCATGTAAATGCAGGATTGAGGCCTGCCTTTGGCTCAGGAATTTCATCTATCCAACTTATTCAGGAAAAGACCCAAAGGGCAGCTAAAGATTTATATACCTTTTACCATATATATAATTTTCTATTTATATAGTATAGCATTTCTTATTTACTAGATATATATTATATAGATCATTTCTACATTATCCAGATACTTATATATTACATGTACATTATAAATATTATTTACTTATACATTATATACACACATATAAATAATAAAATGTTAGAAGAAACAAGAAGTGAGAAAAGCAGAGGAGAAATCTTTATATAGATTATAACTAAAATTTCATAAGTAAACCGAACATACACACCCAATAAATAATGAAAGATAGTGTGTCTGACATTGGTTATCTCTGGGTGGTGAAATTATGAGTGTGTTAATCTTGTCACTCAAAGATTTTTTTTCCCCATTTTCTGGGTTTTATTTTATTTTTTCCACTTCTGGGGATCAAACTCAGGGCCTTGCACATGCTAGGAAAGTGCTCTACCACTGAGTTACATTCCCAGTCCTGTTTCAAAGTTTTCTACAATGAACATGGGCCATTGTTAAGGACAAACAGAAACCAGTAAGTCTTGCTGGTGTGGAGACGGAGCTCTGCTTCCTCACTCTGCCCTCTGTGTGAGAGGAGCTCATTTTCTCTGTAGTTGAAAATTTTAGGCGAGATGAAAACCCAAGAGGAGGAATTGTGATAGGCCACACAGAGCACCAGTCCTGAGGCCTGCACGAGCTGCTCTGAACCAGGGAGGACCACCTGACTCCGTTTTCATTGTTGCCATCTCAAGTCATATTTTCATGTATTTTTTTTTTTTTTTTGCAAAATAAAGTTTGATTCAGTGAGTCATTCTGTTTGTGCAAGCTGATGTCATGATAATGCGATGCTTGTGGTGATGACTGAATGTGCTTCTGAGAGTTGAGCTCTGACAATGCTATGTATATATAAGACAGTTTGAATTGCAAATACTTTGTTCTCTTGCTGGGTTATGTAGTATGCTCTACGTTCAAACTTTTCACAACATGTTTTCATAAAACGTCATGTAAAGGAAGATGTTTGTGGCATATTAAGTTAAAATGCATTTACCAGCACTATTACAGTAATGTGATATGTAGGCCTGAACTGGCACTAGAGGGAAGCAAGTGGGGGAGTCACCAAAAACTCAGTAATAGGAATAAATAAATTTTGAAAATCAATGCAAAAAAGTTCATGGTAAACCAAATCTTGAAATTTTGAGTGAAAAGAAGTTGCAACTCTGTCTCACACAAACCTGGCTCTGAATCATACAAAACTATTTTGAAAGGTATAGACTAAGTAACAGTGGTTATATCTTACTGATAGAATTGAGATCATTTATTTTTTTTTTTTAATTTATTTATTTTTAGTTCTCGGTGGACACAACATCTTTGTTGGTATGTGGTGCTGAGTATCGAACCCGGGCCGCACGCATGCCAGGCGAGCGCGCTACCGCTTGAGCCACATCCCCAGCCCAAAGATCATTTATTTTTTAATTATAGAATTTTTGTAACTTTTTTTGCTATGAATCTATATAATTTTTATAACAAATATTTTTTTTTCTTTGAAATACACACATGAGGTTAGAACTATAGATCAGAAGGTTGAAGACTGGTCATAGTAGATAGGATTAATATAAGCAATTAATGAAGTAAAAATAAAATTAGAAACTATTCCTGTTTAAAAAGAATATGAGTGAATTGCTCCCTACTTGGTGCTCCCAAGGACATGGCTCTTAGTAAATGCCTGTCACATTGCACCATAAACCTCTAGTTTCCACTGACTTCTTGTCCATCTTACCTGTTGTTTGCATGCTCCTTCCTTCTAGGGACACTGTGCCTGACTCAAACCCTGGGCCTGACACAGTTCTGGGCCCATAGTAGATGCTTGGTTAATGTTTGAACTCCTTTTCTTTAGGCAAACTATGCTTTGAAGAATTATCAGAGTTACTGAGAGCCCAGTATTCTAGGAACTTCCTTGCCAGTTGCTGACAAGGCTTTAGCATACTTTCTGGAGTCAAGATGTTCCATCAGGCACTTAGATCTGTTTATATTCCAACACTTGCATGCTATTGGTTCAACAGTCAATGTTGCACTGGGTCAAAGATTTCAGGACCCACCAGAGTTGTCCCATCTGCCTCTCTCCCCTCCCTTGTTGTTAAAAATCACAAAGTTTTGGGGTTGATTATTAAGTGGTCTTCTTTCTACTTCTTTTGCAACCTTTGACAGATAAAATAATGAGGTCCAGAGGATCTGTCCCTGAAGGCTGGTGTCCTTCAAACTCCTTTCTTAGTATGCACTGATAATATACCTCCTGAGAATTAGGACTTTACAACCCAGACTGAAGTATGTTTTGAGACAAGGTGAAGTTCAAGACATTTTCTTCAATATTTTGTCCTTTATGTCTAAGTCACTGAAATGGACTTGTGAAAACTTTTAATGTATCTGAAAAATCTCAAGTTCTAGCCAATGCTGTATCACTAACAAGCTTGGGCAATTCTCTCTCTCTCTCTCTCTCTCTCTCTCTCTCTCTCTCTATATATATATATATATATATTTGATTTCAGCTTTTTTATATATTGGGTGGGGTTGGTTTCACCCCACTGATCACACCAATTTGTGAGTGTCCAATTTGATCCTCAATGTGAAAATATTCTTAAATATATCAAGAGACTTCAAATGCCTTTTCATTCATCAATGATACATCTGGAAACCTATACCGAAAAAATAATCCTTTAGATTAGGCTATTGTGTACAACCGGTACCTATAGAAATATTATTCATATGGAAATAATCTTTCTAATAAAGGAAATAGAGAAACAAATGATAAATCACTCACATTCTGGAAAACTTTAAAGAGATATTTTATGAAAGTAGCATAAACATAAAAATTTTCTTAAAAAACAATGAAAAAAGTAGGAACCATTTTTTTTTTTATTGAGCCCAAGGTTGCTTAACCACTGAGCCACATCCCCAGCCCTTTTTATTTTTTATTTTGAGACAGGGTCTGCTTAGGTTGCTTGTAGCCTAGCTAAGTTACTGAGACTGGCTTTGAACCTGCGATCTTCCTGCCTCAGCCTCCCGAACCAGAAGCATTGGGATTACCGGTGTGCACTACCATGCCTGCCTTGGAACAAAATTTTAAACACAATATTTAAATCTTTATCATAGAAAATATAATGGTAATAAAGACACATGAATTTAACAGTTTGCATTTGGAAGGTTTCATTTTTATTTTTAATTTAATTATGCATTCATAATAATGTGGTAAAGGTAAACTTTTATTATTTTTAGAGATAATTAGAAAAAAATCTTTTAAATGTTCTATTGATACTACCAGATGATCTCTGACTATGATAATTGGACTTCATGATTTTTTTTTTTTTTTTTGGCTTTATGATGGTGTGAAGTGCATTCAGTAGAAATCATACTTGGAATTTTGATCTCTTCCTAAGGCAGCAATGTGTGGTACCATGTCCTCTCTTGATGCTGGGCAGGAACAGCAAGACGCAGCCCTAGTCAGCCATGTGATTGAGAGGGTGATCACCTCCCCACAGAGAGGTACTCCATAGTGTACTATGTTGTTCAACAATGACATTTGGTAGGTTAGGTGTATCAAATGCAGTTTTGGGACTTGTAATATTTTCAAGCTACAATGAAGTTATCAAGATCCAACTCCACTGTAAATCAAGGAGCTAATATAGTAATTTTTTAAAACAACCAAAAAACCTAGAATCAATCCTGGATTATAAGAATAGGTAAGCATTTTATAATTCCATCAGTTTCAAGGCCTTTATATAAATCAGCAAGTCAGAGTTTAAAGGATACAAGTGGACATTAATAAACCAGCTAAGAACCTACTTATATTTTCAAGTATAGATGTCTGTGTCAAGGGTTTTTGGAGGGGGAGGTCTGTGGTGTTTGGAAATGTGGCCCCTTCTGGTGTTTCCAGGCACAAGGAGCCATTTGCTCTCTTCTATCCTGTGACCTAGAAAGAACAGAGCAGTGGGGACAGTGTTTATCCTGACCCAGGCTGCCAGGCCTCTTCTGTCCTGTCCTGTCTCTGGGGCTCATCCAGTGCCTTCTTCTGGTCTCTCAGCTCCAGTGACATGGGACCTCTGATTGTTGCCACTCGATGCTCCTTTATGCGAGGGCTGGTGCATTTTCCTGTTCCTTCTGCCTGATTGCCCTGTCTTCAGGTTTTCACATGACAGCCTTTTTCTTATAGTTCAGCTTCATCTCCAATGTTGCTTCCTCTAAGAGGCCTTCCTGGACTGCACCCATGGTCCCTTTAACTCTATCATCCTGGTTAACTTTTTTCCAAAATCACTGATCACTTTCTGAAATAATCTTCTGCACTTATTAATTGGCTTATCTCCTCCCAATTCCTTCCCACCTCCTCTGTCACCCCCATATAAACCCTGTAAGAGCAGAGACTTGACTTTTGCTCACTCCTATTTCTGTATCACATGTCACATGGTAGGCATTCAATAAATAAAATTCAGTTGTCCATTTTCATTTATGATTTTATAAAGTGATGAGGTTGTTATGTATTTTTATAAACTATAAAGTGAGATCATTAATTCTTCCTAGTCTCTAAGATCCATATTGAACAGATCATTCTCAACGCCTAAAGTGTGATGACTGTGCCCCAGAACTGATGACTGGGGCCTGCAGCAGAAGGTGCTAAGTGCTGGGTGACAAGCTGTGGATGAGTCTTCATGCTTCTTGGTTTAATGTCTTGCTAAGAGTGTGTCATAACAGAGACTGGGGAGGCCTCAGTTTATTTGGAAAGGCAGAAGTAAGGAATCAGTAAAAGTCCCCAATATTTGAAGTCCACCTCATTCTTTCCTGATACCCCAGTAGACCCCTAGCTGACCCTTTACTGGCGAGGCTAGCAAGGATGTCTTCACCAGAACTTTCTGACCTTATTTCTACATAAATGGGACCAGCTAATTATTATTATTAGTTTTTAAAAGGGGCTGATGGCCAATATTTTTGATTTTGCAGGCTGAACTCTGCCACTGTGGTAAGGAAGCAGTCATAATAGACAAGATGTAAACTAATGGCCTTGCCAGGTTTGACTCATGGACTGTAGTTTGCCTGAACCCTGGACTAGAATCAGGGCCTCACACCACCTTATGTCTGTTCTGGCCTCAGGATGGCCCTCCTTCTGGAGGTCACAAACCTCTAGTTTCTGAATCAGTGGCATGAATCTGGGTGGGGGAAATTACATATGAGAAGAAGGGACTCAAAGCTAGGTGCCAACAATAAAATATAATTTCCAATAGATCCCACTACTCTGAGTTACTTTGAATTTAGTTCATTTATAAGTGGGCTTTAGTTAAAGAAAGTTGAATTCAACAGGCCTGTAATAGGCATCTCTTATTGAATTGAGTTTCCTTGTTCATATGCAAGCCTAATACTGAAAAATTTTAATGACTGGTGTGGAATGAAAACCGATTAGGATGGATGAATTGTAAAAACAACTGTTGGGGACAAGCCAGTGTGCAAGGTGAAAATCAGCTTTACAGTGTGCAGGCCTGTGGTCCACTGTTATATATGAGGAAGCAATGAAGCACCCTGAGGGAAGAGTTGTAATTGCACACATGCTATATAGTTTGGGCAGGCTCTGGAGAGAGAGGCCCATGGAGAACATATCTGCACACTTTCGACCAATGCTGGGATTCCATTATTAGAAATTCATCTCTATTGGTCAAGGATCACCATTTCATTTTTAGTGCACAAATATTCAAAATAATTTTGAGTCATGTTGCCTTTAAAAAAATTCCCATATGAATTATTTGTATTATATTCTTTTTCAAACAGTCAGATGGGAGAGATCTTAAAAGAGGGAGACATGGAAAGAGTGAGTAAATGAGGGTTGTGGGGGAATACACTTTAGAGAGGAAAGGTCCTCAAAAAAGAAGAGGGTTTGCATATAGGAAAAACTTGGTTCATTTCAATTTGATCAAGGACCTTGAATTAAGAGCCATTTTTTCAAAATATGAAATCTTTTTGTTGTGACTGTTAGAATCCTAGTAGTAAATTCACAGTCTGTCTTAGTGTGAGAGTGTTATATTTCAGCTTTTATATTTCTGCCCTTATTTTTCATCCATTATTCCTCAAATACTATTTAATCTTTGTGTTTTGTATTTTTTTTGCAAACCACCTACAATTCTGTTTAAAGCAAGATACCTAGATATTTTATTCAGTTATTTATTCAGTCATGCAACACATGCAGTTAATATGCACTGACATCAATCTTAAATGATACCATTGATTAGACTTCAGTGGATTTATAAAATGATTTAAAAGGAATCATAGATTTTTACTTATTTTCTTATTTCATGCTTTTAGGTTTTTCTGGGCCACAAAGAGAAAGAGGAAATTGGGCAAAGATTCACAAACCTGTGCAAGGTGGTAGTTGTTCCTCCAGGTCCTGGGGGTGGCTGCAAATAGGGAGGGGGCTGCAGTGGAAAACTTCAAAGCTGTGATGAGGAGGACAGCTAGGCCAGATGCAGGGAGCACCTTCATCTCCTCTTGGAAGCTGGGTAATTATATCAGCCCAAGGGATGGCAGCCAGTGCACATTTGCACTTCGACCCTGAGCTCCTTTTATAGAGTCCAACAGGTCTGGGCCCTGCAAGCAAGGATGATTCATGTCTCAAATGGTAATTATACAGCTTGCCTCTCTCCCTGATGACGGGGTAACACAACCGTTCATAGGAATCAGGGGAAGCTTCGTTTTATGCCAGCTACTGTCCCCAAAGGAAAGAAACAGTCACTTTTATTGAAGTTTGTTAGCTACTTACACAAATTGGGATAAACTTGATTGATTGACTCCAATTCAACCAAAAATTTGATATGCCTCAGTTTGGGGACATTTTACCATTCTGATTACAGAAAAGGTAAATGATTAAATATAATTGAATTAGAATATAATTGAATAATCCCAAACTCCCCCCCACATTCAACTCATCACCTGTATCTTCTGCATCCACTTTGACATTTCTCAGGAATGAATGCTGATGATAATGATGGTTCTGAGACTCATAAGATTCTGAATCATCAAGGCAACATTACATTATACTGTGCTGACTTAGGGTGGAAAGTGAACTGGTAACAGAAAGCTTTTGAATGAGTTAACACAATAGTTAGCAACTTAGTTAGCCAGAACAGTAGGCAGAACTCCCCATTCTCTGTGCGCTCTAGTTAATTGGGATCATATTCTTTTTCCTGGCTTTGAGTAAGATGAATTTTGATCTAAGGATAGCATGGGAAGGGGAGGTACTAGGGAAATAAAACTGACCAGATTATGTTATGTGCATGTACAATATGTAACTATGAATCCCACTAATATGTAAAATCATAATGTACCAATTTAAAAAAATGATAACAGAGAAATGGTGTTGTAAGGTGGGAAAAGCACTTCAAAGTCAGAAAAATTGAGATTAAATTTTTAAGATATCTCCTAGCCATGTGAAGTTGGGCAAGCTATTTGATCTCTGTGAACATCAGTTCACAGTTTTTTTTTTAATCTGAAAATAATACTACCATGTGTAAACTCCTTAGTGTTACAAGGGTAGCACAGCATATCACATGGTATCTGCTAGTACCGCTTGGCATCCATCCTTCCTGGGTTCTGAGAAAACAGCTGATGACAATGAGGAAATCACTCTCGTCCAATCCAGATGAAATTCAGAGCTGAGAAAGTATAAACTCATGTTTTTCTTGTCTAAAATAAGAGCTGACTTTGAGGGCTGTGGATATAGCTCAGTGGTAGAGGGATTGCCTAGCATGCTTGAGGCCCTGGTTTTGAGTCCTAGAACTGCCCACCCCCACCACCCTGGCCCCAAAGAATGATCGCAGGGATTTTTAATAAAAAGCTCACCAGAAAGTCCTTTACTCTCTATGCTTTGTGTACCTTGCACATATGCACAGATTTCTATAACATAATTTAAGACTGCAACAATTCAGATAAGACGTTGTCCCAGGAGGGCCTCCACCAATGAGATGATGTCAAATCCTGCTTTGGGTCTCCAAGATCACTGCACTTTGTATCCAAGCAGCTTCATGAATTTCTCCCTTTTGCTAATAAAAGCTTCCTTTACCCTCTCCTCTTTGACTGCAGGGTGCACGTTGCCCCAGCATGTATCCTGGATTACAATCCTTTGCTCATTCCTGAATAAATTCTTATACTTGGATACATTTTTTCCCTCTGGGGTTTCTTTTTAGCTTTGACCATTTAAATTCTATTTCTGACAGAACTGTGCATTTGACTTTTAGTTGGTTGATTAATCTCTTTCAGCTGTGTTATTTTTGCCTTTAAAATAGGGGAAAATGCCTATTTTGTAGGATTGTCCTGAAGGAGTAAACAAAGCTCTTAGCAAAGTGCTTAGTAGACATTAGTTCTTGTCTATTTTTTATGTTGGCTTCAGGCAACTGGTTGACTTTGAATGAATTTCTTTGGATGGATCATCACTGGCCTAGATCAATGATTCTCAAAGCACAGTTCCTGGGCCAGCAGCATCACTGCCACCTGGGAACTTGTAGGAAACGCAAATTCTCAGGCTTTCCCAGGTTTATTGAATCACAAACTCTGGGTACAAGGTTCATGGGTCTGAGTCTTGCCCAGGTAATTCTGATGCATGCTGAACTACTGAATTAGTTGAGTGAATAGAATTAAGGAATTCGAGGTTAAAAAAAAAAAAGCCTAAAAAATTCCAAGAACACCTGGTCATAGAAAGTACTCAATACTGCCCTTGCCACCTGGGGCTGTGCTTTTCAATGGTGACACACCTAGTATTTGAAAGTCATTTTGTTGTGGTTGTTGTTGCAAATAACTTATTAAGTTAAGACCTGTTAAACCATAGAGTATGTAAATTATTTGCTTTCCACTTAGATGAGATTCAGGGTTACTCCTTTTGTGAGCTTTCTCCTCTTCTGTTGCCATCTGCTATACTTTCCTGCATAGAAGAGAGTGATGAAGTTATAGCTTGGTCTGAGAGGAACTAGTGAATAACCCTAGGTACTCAGCAAGTCTACTGTCATGTGTATCTAAAAAGAACAAATAAAATAAAAGAGTCTGTGATTCATGCAAACCTCATATCTGTCATGTACTGTGAGATGTACAAAACATGTGTCTCAGAAGGAAAAAAAAGAAAATCACAGATTAGATTCATTCAGCTAACTAAATGATAAGCTCCTTGAAGATTATATGATAGAAAAAGGTCAGTTAATCAAGTTTGCTTAATGAATGAATGTACAAACATATACTTACTATTATTTTTTGATTCTCAGGATAGGAAAGGAATATTATATTAATGATCTTCCAAAATTTGTGTGCTTTCTTATCCTCTACCGCCCTATTACTAAACCTTTATAGCAGTTGCCAAAATTGAGCAAGGACTGAGTCCTTAACACTTCCCTTCAATTATTCATCTCATTTCCTTGTTTTCTCCCCCAAAATATTGTTCCAATTTATCCTGTTGGCCCTGTTGGAAAAGCATACAGGCCAGTGTTAGAGTGGGAGGGATCATGGTATGCAATTCTGAGGCCAACAAAGAGAAACTATTTTCACCTCTAGGACTCTAATGAGTACAATAAATTCCACTTTTGGAAGTAGATTGAAGGAAAAAAGGGTGTGATCTGGAAGCTTCCAATATTCTCATGTACAACATTTCAATTGCTAAGCATGAATAACCTGAACAGAAATAAACATTTATGTTCTTAAAAGTTATTCACATTTAGCACATTGAATTTCACTCAGAGTTGCTGGTGGGCAATACCTTGACAGAGAGAGAATGACAGCCTTAATATTGATAATTTATTACCAGGCTTTCTCTCTTCCTAATTTTTCTGTCTTCACAGGGGAACAAAAGTCTGATTTTTATCATCCTTGTATCAAATCTAAATTTAAATCCAGATTATTCAAATCTAAAAAGATATATCAAAGCAAGTCAATGACTAAAAGGGGTAAAATGTGAGACTCTACTAGAGAAATGTGGAAAGTGAAGTATGTATAGTATAATTAGACAATAAAAATATTATATATGAGGCAGGAGGTTGGAAGCCTTTAGTCAAGAACAACATTTGGGGATCCAGAAGACTCTTAGAAAAAGGGCTTTAAACTACAGAATCAGGCTTACTACAGAGAATTGTTCCTTGCTAGATCCCAGCTTAATTCAGTTCCATTGATTTTTTTAAATTTTTTTTTTGTAGGTGGACACAATACCTTTTTTTTATTTGTTTATTTTTATGCGGTGCTGAGGATCGAACCCAGGACCTCAAGTGTGCTAGGCAAGCAAGCACTCTACTGCTGGCCACAACCCCAGCCTCTCCATTAATGTTTTAATAGATCAAAAACATTTAGATTTCTGAGATTGTCCCTGCCTTTCATGGAATGGGTGGATAAATAATTGTTGGGTAAATGACTAGTTGCCTTTTTGTCTTTCTCAAGTAAAGAGCACAGGTTTCATATTTAGGCAACCTAGACAAAAACACTGATTTGGTCACTTTATAGATGTGTTACCATTCAGTGTTCTTAAATTTCAAGCTACAGAAACCATCTTTGATTAATTTCTTCCCCCTCTCCCTCTCCTTTTCCCTCCCCCTCTCCCTCTCCCTCTCCCTCTCCTTCTCCCTCTCAGGTTGGCAGACAGTTTAGAGAATTTCCAGGAAGCCTGGAGATCTAGGCTGGGAGAACCAGCAGGAATGAGAAGAGACCAAAGCCAAGGTGTGGTCTGCTGGTGGGACTCTTGACTCTTACCACTGGACAATATTATAGCTGGACAGTCAGGATGCTGCTGCTGGGCTCTTGTTTCTGGTTGTCTTTGTCTCATCCACTCAGCATCCATGGTGCTAGGTGTGAGAGTCTGTTGGGTAGGCCTGGGTTGTCTGAACTTGCCCTGATGTCCAGACACAAGAAGTAGAAGGACCTCCCTTCAGTTTGGTCTTCCTACTGGGAGGCAGGATACCTTCCATGGAAACCACCATTAACATAGAATGAGGAATGTCATGTAGAGAAGGACAGATCAAAACCAATTAAGACCAAGTGCAGAAAAGGATCTGTGACCTTCCTAAATGTCTATTTCCTGCTCTGCAAAATGGAGGATAATCATATCTATATATGAGAGAATTAAAATGGCTAATGGATTTTTAGTGCGAAACTCAGTTCATATATGGGAGATTTCAAAATTTTTGTTGCCATAATTTGCAAAAATTTCAGAAATAACATGGTGGATTAATAAAAATTAATATATTGCATTTTCCTATTTTTTTTAAGTACTGAGAATTGAACCCAGGGTTTATCCCATGCTAAGGGAGTACTTTACTACTCAAGTACATCTCCAGCCCAACATTTTCTTTCTTCTAAGTCAACATTGATAATCAAATTGGCCATGGATTAAATAAGGTTTGGGAAAAATAAAGCATTAGGTTATTAAATGTATATGTTAACACAATATATATTCTTTTTGTATTTGTTATCTTTCATAATGTGGAGAATGTTAGCTCCACATGGATAAGGACTCTTTA